AGAGGAATGAGCAGAGTTAAGGATTTTTAGAAAAAATAATTTATTCCCATTTTGTGGGGGGGAACAGATTATTTCAGGTGGCTAAAATATTCTGTTCCCCCCCTTCTAACTTTGGCAAATAAAGAGCAAATGTTTCCAAATTCACATGACTAGTTGTCCATGATGAGAGGAATGAGCAGAGTTAAGGATTTTTAGAAAAAATAATTTATTCCCATTTTGTGGGGGGGAACAGATTATTTCAGGTGGCTAAAATATTCTGTTCCCCCCTTCTAACTTTGGCAAATAAAGAGCAAATGTTTCCAAATTCACAGGACTAGTTGTCCATGATGAGAGGAATGAGCAGAGTTAAGGATTTTTAGAAAAAATAATTTATTCCTATTTTGTGGGGGGGAACAGATTATTTCAGGAGGCTAAAATATTCTGTTCCCCCCTTCTAACTTTGGCAAATAAAGAGCAAATGTTTCCAAATTCACAGGACTACTTGTCCATGATGAGAGGAATGAGCAGAGTTAAGGACTTTTAGCGATAATAATTTATTCCCATGTTGTGAGAGGAGGGTGGGGGGGGACAGTTTATTTCAGGTAACTAATACTTTCAGGTAACTTTGGCCACAAAAAAGAGCAAATGTTTCCAAATTCTCAAGGAGTTGTGTGTGAATATTGAACCTAAATGTCAAGATGATTAAATAATCACCAAAACATTACTGAGTGTGTTTCAGGCTGAAATCTTGTGTTCCACGTACTTTGAGGTTTAAGCATTTTTTTCTCCTTAAGAGAAATAAGAGAGAGAGAGAGAAAACAGACATTAAATGCAAAAAAATAGCAGCTAGAAATATCTGTTCTTCAATAGTGTCATATTTTTCATATGAACGAGATTTACCAGAAAGCCTATATTTGTTTTCAGGAAGTTTAATTGTTCGTGTCCTGCTCTCACCAGCTTCCATCCTTCTACATTAGCAAGAAAAAATTATAAATACGCATAATGTGTTGGTGACTGGCTCATATTTGTCAGGCTAAAATGAACATGACCAAAGTTGTAGATTTTCTCGGCGATTAAAAAAAAAAAAAAAAAAAAAACAAGACCAGGTTTTTTGTTGTTGTTGAGGTTTTCATTTATTTATTTACCAGGAGCTGTCCATTAAAATGAAAGTTACAACCGTGACACGAATACGTGGACTCCCAACTAACTCCAGCACTTCAGAACTTTCTCCAGGCACTGGAACTTTCTCCAGGCACTGGAACTTTCTCCAGGCACTGAACTTTTGGAACTTCTGTTCTCTCTGGAACTAGGAAGTGTCGACTTTTAAAGAGTTCTGCTTCCTGTCACTTTTGGGAAGTCCTGATTGGTTGAAAGAACCAACAGGGGTGTGGTTTTAGTGACGTCAGAGGGTCATTACAAGTCAGAAAAACAGCGGAGATGTTTAGGAACAGACAGAGAAATGTTTTGACGAAGAGAGAAAAACTACAGGTGTCAGTTCTCTTGTTTCCGTCTGAGAGGTTTAAAAACATGACAGTACGTTCCAATAACTTGCTTCGGACTGTCTCCAACTTTTGACCGACATCACTCTCTCATTTCAGACAGAAGATCAAAAATGCATAATTACTTTGTAACAGACATTTAACTTGATTTCTACTTTGAATGAGGATTAAAAATCATTAATACTGTTTCACAGTTGATTTAAAATGAGTGGTTCATTTCAACATTTAAAATGGTATGAACTAAACACACTTTTGATTATCAAGACATTGTAAAATAGTAATGATAATATGAAAAAGAGAGTGTTCTTTCAATTGATTAGTTCAGGATACAATTAGAAAGTCTCTGGATGAGCTAATTTGTATTTCTGGATTCAAATCAATGAAATAACAGTTCCTGTCCCATGAAGGTCTTCAGAGGCAGGTTTTGACCGGAGGCTTAGTTCACTACACCAATCAGACTAACATGCATGTTTTTGGTCTGTGGGAGGAAACTGGAGTACCCGGAGAAAACCCACGCATGCACGGAGAGAACATGCAAACTCCACCCAGAAGGTCACCCAGACCGGGAATTGAACTAGGGACCTGCTCGCTGAGAGGCAGAAGCTCTACCAGTTGTGCCACCGTGCTGCACATTGCTATTTTCTGTCTTTTGTTAATTTTAGCTTCTAGCTAGCCTTCCAAAAGTTTTAACCATTGTTTTGATACTTTGTCAGCCTTTGATGTTGTTTTTTTATTTTTTAGCTGGTATTTTGCTACTCTTAGCTTTAATTTATATTTAGTTACTTGTAGCTAGTCTTTTGTTATCTTCTAGCTAAACCCATCTGTCAACATTAACATTAATTTTAGGTACATTTTCACTACTTTTAGCTGCTACAGTATAATACTTTTTATTGGCCTTTTGATACTTTTAGCTACATTTACCTATTTTTGGGCAACACAGTGGCACAGTTAGTAGAGCTACTGCCTTTCAGAGAAAAGGTCGCCCTGGTTCAAATCCTGGCTTGGGGCATTTCTGGGTGGAGTTTGCAAGTTCTCTCCATACATACGTGGGTTTTCTCCAGGTACTCCAGTTTCCTCCCACAAACTAAAAACATTCATGTTAGGCTGATTGGCAGTGGTGATTTTAGCCTCATTTTGGGGATGCTCAGCACCCCTGAAGTATTATTATTTCTTTAATTATATATACAGTGCCTTGCAAAAGTATTCGGCCCCCTTGAACTTTTCAACCTTTTGCCACATTTCAGGCTTCAAACATAAAGATATAAAATTTTAATTTTTGTGAAGAATCAACAACAAGTGGGACACAGTTCACAGTTCAACATTTCATATAGGCTTCGCCCTTTAAGGCAGTCGCTGATGGGTTTTATACCGATATGCGAAGCATTGCACTGAAAAATTTAGTCCATGCCCACCTGCTGTGTGGGCCCCACCCGGTCTGTATAAATTACGTTAAGAGCGGGTAATCGGCTCCCCATTTTTCTTCAGTGAGCTAATAGCACTGTCAGAAGAACGAAGAAGGAAATTTGTGTAGATGACCAACCTTTGTTAAGAATGTTTGGCCCGTCACGTCGGCCTCCGATTGTCCTGGTGAGCTCTCCTCCCCGAGGAGAAGCTGAGGAGCAGTCTTGTTTCAAGGTAAACGCCGAAGAGTATTTCTCAGTGACAGGTCACTACACGCTGGACAACGCCATCTTGTAATTTTCCTCATTGCCGACCCTTGAAGCGAATCGGATGGTTCCTCCGGGACAGGCGGCGTTCAGCTGCAGCCCCGCTGCTCATTCCCTCCTGGAGAGCGTAGTGTCGGTGGAGGGGGGCTGAGCGAATGCTCACCTCATCCCACCTCGTTTTGCATCTGCGATCACACCGCTCCCGGCCGACAGCACCCACTGGGGTTGCCCGGTGTAACCCAGGAGGCTGCTGACATGAAGGGACCCTTTTTTTACGTCCCGCGCCTTTCCCGCTAGTTCAGATGATCCAGCGGGAAGGTTTTTTCTAGGCTCCATTCCGGCTCGCCGTCCTGATCCCATCTGCCCTGGTTTCCCAACAGGACGTCCTACGGGGACGAGGCCACAGTCGGCTTTCCTGGTAGATTGAGGGGCCGGTCTCCACAGTCTGCGCCCATCACCAGAGCAGGGGTTTCACCAAGCGGAAATTCCCTCAGTGCCCCCTGGAGCCAAGCCTGACGGAAGCTTTTCTCGGAGCAAGATGTCCAGGTGGACCAGCGCCTCGTGCCTCCGGTTAGTGTAACCCAGACGGTGACACCGCTCTCCAACTGAGCTCACCAGCATGCGTTCCAGACGTCCACAGCGAACAACACGTTACGCTGTTGGCGTACACGTTCAGAGGC